ACACCGATTCGCGCGACTTTCCTCATATTGATATTATATGTTTAATCCGTACCTGATATAATTTTCTGACGGATGTCCAGTTCGTCCGCCTCCTGATATCTCCGTCGGTGTTGTTTAAAATATCATTATCATTATTATCCATCATTGTTATTATTAATAGTAGTAAGTAGTGTTATTTTTTTTTATGATTATTATTATCGTATCATTATTATTAATATTTTATAAATCATCTTTAAACTAATGTATAATAAACCGGGAGGTTACCACGACACAAGAGTTGGTCTTTTACTTCATGATCGCAAGGGACGTTATAATTTACCTACATTTAAGAAAAAGCGATGCATCTTGTTTTGTACAAGTAACCATGTTGTTAGCTGTATTCCCTGGAGGAATATGCTACAAGAGGCACGGGCGAAAGGTACCAGATTTTGAGTGTTTATACCATAGTGAAATAAAGGAGAGAAAACCAGTAAAAGTTCTTTCATTGGTATAGTCCTTTGCTTTATTACTTCTGCACTAAGCAGTTTTCATTGAAAGGAGGATGAATCAGGTCTCAGAAGATGAGTTTTGTGTATGATGCCAAATCTCTTTTTCAAAGCAATACGAACTTCTCTCACTGCATAAAGTTGCGATTCATTCTTTTCATAATCATGCTTTAGCAGTGTTTACATTTATCATTGACCTTGTCCAAAGCCACAAGCTATTGGTTCCTAGTGTACACGTAGGGTCCTTTGCTGACCACTTCAATGTTAAGTTAGATACTAACTCTGTACATCAATCTCTAACCTATCAACTTTACTTACCGGTTGATGAGGAGCTGCTTGTTCTTTATGTACATCTTTCCGACAGTTACACATAGTATTCCATTTGTGTCGTGTTACACCTTGTTGGTGGTGTAACTTGCAGAAGCATAGTGATTGTTTCTAAAGTATTTTACTATATACACACAAGCCCTTGAATATTGCCAATTGCCAGCACAGACATAAGTCACCAGCGTCAGTTCATTTCCGTTCCAATACGTTTTTGTTTACATTAGCTTCGATTATCCGTCACAATATATCAAACACGGCAACCAAGTTTCTTTATAATTCTGAATTGCTGATTTGAGAGGTCAGTCTAGATATTAACTAGGGCTGGCCACTTGTCTATTGTACCCACTAGAATATATGGCCTGTGACAGCCTGAAGCGAGGCGTCACAGTAACACATACATTGGGCTCAGTGCGAAGTTAGACCACCCTCTAAAGACAGACAGTTTCATCTTTCAGTCAGAGCATATATTGATATTCTTGTCCAAATGAATTTGCAATTGCTTTTTCTTGTTGGAGGAGTGTATCTGCCTCAACTTCCCAACCATTTTACAAAACTGAGGATGTTCTACCAATCTAAAACGAAGAGTGAATTGGTGAGTCAAAGGGTTAAGGTCGGGTGGTTAGATTAGATAACGGATATGTAATGCGTTTGAGGAAAGAGGACAGGTTGTTGATGCAGAAAGGTGTGGGATTCTTAAGGATGTCATGATAGGTTGGGGAGGTCGGTGAAGGGCGGATAGGTGGGGGAAGCAGAGGTACGGGCTGCTGCAAAACGTGGGCACGAAATAGGATGTGTACGTATGATAAGGGGGACATTACATAAGGAACATAGGGGTGGATCAGATTGTGACACAGTAGACTGAAATTCACTGTGATCCAACGATGAAGGAAGATACGAATAGTGTGCAAGGGAACATGGTTTGAAAGGGTGGCAGTGACATAAGGTGTTTTCTGATTGATAAGTATGGACGAGACATAATAAAGGGAATGGGGGCAAAGAGACAAAATGTAATTTAATTGGGGATTGATATTGGATGTGTCAAGAAGGTTTCTTGAAGGCATACAATAGATGGGTTATAAGAGGACAGGATATGACGAAAGATCAGGTTTCTGTGGAGCGAAAATCGGCGAATATTCCAATGAAGGATAGTTATACTTTCGGTGATTAGTGTTATAGATTGCAGTACGTGTTGGAATATTTTGAGGGGGAAGCAGCTTAGAGGCGTGGGATAAGGACTGAGAGGTTTGAGATGGGAGGATATGGTGGGAGTTGGTGTTCTATCAGGAGGGTTATAGGAGCTGGAGGGCGAGGAAGGGGATACTTGTGACATAAGGGATTCACGTGTGTATCCAGAGGGAGTGGAAGGGATTAGAGGGGATGTCGGGAGAGGTAATGGGGGCGGGGTTGGGGTCGGGCGGGGGGGGGGAGGGCTGTGTGGGAGGGGGGTAGGAGGATAGGGTGTAGGTGGGATACGTTCGGAGGAGGCGGATTATCCAGCAGTTACTGGAGTGTGGAAGGAGCAGGGGTTGTAGGTTGAGGTCAGTTTGCATTAAGTAATCTTGAATATTTTCAATAGTTTCTTCTAAGGAGTTGAGTTGGGAGTTTGGGGGATATAAGCGGATTTCTTGTGAGGGGGAGAAGAGAGGACAGGTGTATCAAGAGTGGGGGGCAAAGGTGGTGGAGGTGATGTGTGGTAGGGGAAAAAGAGGGGGTGGAACGTTTGTTATGCTGTTACGGGGGAGTGGCGAGGAGGGAAGAGGGGAAGGTGTTGGGGTGTAGTGGTGATTGGAGTATCTGTAGTAGAGATTGGAGTTTCTCGGATTTAGGATGGCAAAAGAGTTTGACTGGGGAAGGTAGGTGGGGTTAGTGGGGAGGTTAGATGTAGGAGGGGTGGGTTTAGGAGAAGTGTTAGAATGAGCAGTATTACTGGAGTAAGGAGTAAGAGAGAATCCACGTCGACGTGCTTCCTGTCTGGCTTCACGCAGTGTGAGTTCCGAGTTTGAATCAGAGAGTTGCTACCTCAGATTCAAATTTGTAGGTGGGACAGCCCCTATAAAATACATTATGGGGCCGCCACAGTTGGCACATGTGCGTGATTGTGCAGAGCAGTTAGATCGGGTATGGCCAGGTTGGGCACATAATGGGCATCTGGCTGTGGAACGGCAGTGTTGGCTGGGTGTCCTAGACGCCAACAATTTTGGCACTGACGTGGAGGAGGTTGGTATGGACGAACAGGGAGGATTCTCCTCCTATATAGACGTTAAAGGGAAGGTCATGTCTTCGGAAGTAATTTTGGCTATGTTAGTGGGTTTCTTTCGATGACCTCTGGGGGGGATGGAGTAGGCATTGTACTGATGTTGCATCGTAGTCTGAGACATGCAAGTAGATCTTCTCCACAATCTGACCCAATCTTTGTCATAGATTGGGCAATTTGCTGGTGAGATTGAGATTGTTCCGGTGCAAGTATTGAGGGTTGGATGGGGTTCTGCTAGGATGGGGTTACCATATAGGTCAGTTAGTTTTGTTAATGCTATGGCTTGGTTTTCGGATGGTTACTGTTACAAGACGGGAGCGGTCGGGTCGGCTACGGAAAGAGACTTTACCTACTGTTTTTGGGAGGCATTGTTGGAAGAGAAGGGTGTTGTCAGAGTAGGGAGCTGTGGGAGGGATCACGAAAAATCGGTCCCATTTGGCTGCACTGAAGAGAGTATTCAAGATTGTTTTAGAGATAGGGGTGGTAGAAGGGCGAGGGGCGTGACGAAGATGGAGTAGTGTTGATGGAGGTAGTGTTATGGAGAGGGGGGCTATAAGGCTGTAAGGTATTAATAAGGGAGGATGGGGTGGTTGATGTTGGAGGTTGTGGGGTAGAGGTGTTGAAGTTGGGCATGCTGGGAGAGTGGAAATGTTCCTTGAGGGTTGATTGTTGGCTACTGTACTAGTAGGCATTGGTGAAGGGGCAGTTATTGCAGTATTCGGAGCCGTGGTCAAAGGAGAGCCTGGGGTCGGGGAATCGGGTGGGTTTATTTCTTTGGGGCTATTTGATAAAGGGGCAAGCCTCATTGCCCCTAACAGTGGGGATATATTTTCATTACTGGCCATGGTAAGCCTGGTTATATTGGGATAAAAACAGTCCACCCCTCAGGGTCCCCTTGAGGGGTAAGGGCTAGATACTAAATCAGGGGAATACCGTGCCCATGGTTCCCTCAGGCCGTTCAGGACTGGCACAAAGTCAGCCTTTCATCCTTTCAGCACGGCTCTCACACCTTAGGAGGTGGATAGCAGAAGGGTTTGGTGAAGGGACAGAAACAAAAGTGGGAAGGGAAAAAAAGACCATGCACAATTAGTTGAGTCGAGGGCTGAGTCCCAAGGTTGGGGAGTTCCCCATCATTGGGTCCCAGTCTCCGCCTCCTAAGCCCCCCCACGACAACAACGGGCAAGGGATTGGGGGGGTCCTCACTCATTAAGCCTTGTGGTCTGTGGCATATCTCTACTCTTGCAGTTAGCTCAGGAACGAGTGGCTGTAACACCCAACTACACAGTGGCACAAGAACAGCCATGCCATAGCATGATGAATACAGGATCAGGAGTCAGGACACAGAAATACTACAATCCTGGCCAGTGGCTACTGGGCTGCTTGGCAGGTTCAAACTCTTGCAACTAAGTGAGATGATGCAACATGCTGTAATAATACTCCAAAATGTCTTACCTAATGTATAGAATATATAATAGCCCTCAAAGTATTTTCATGCTGATAAAAACACCAATGCTGACATATATATGTATACATACATACATACAAATACACATTTATATACATGTACATATATATATATGCATATATATATATATATATATATACATACATATACACATATATGTATATAAATATATATACACATCTATATATATAAAAATTTGTGTATTTACATAAGTATATGTGTATGATTGGACTAAAACGTTACTTTTTCAGTTCAGTTATGAAAGTTCATACATCTCCTTGTCCAAACTCTCACTTTATCTGACAATGAGGGATTTTAAGTATTGGAAATAAAACTCAATCTACTCAGACAAGTACTGTTTTGTCAAAATTTATAGTAAATATGTTTGGGCCAATGTTTAAATTTGAGTTCTATTGTAGCATTTATAACAAATTGCAATGGCTTTCAAGCAAAAGGATACAAAAGTGCGTTTTATAAGAGAAAGGTTCAATTTTTATTGTTACAGAAAGTAAAACATTCAGAGGTGAATATCCACCCTTACAAATATATTTTTTCTGGGCTAGACGCACTGTGCAAACTCCTATTACTTTATG